GTATGAATTTGATGATCCTATAGTCTACAACTCGTACCATCGTGATCAAAGTCTAGCTCAAGCGTGACTTCATCGTCGTTCATTGTGCTGTCTCCGATATTGAACGACTGGGCAGGAACGCAGGCGTGAACAACCCATCAACGCCTCAAACCACGGTTTTAGGCAGGGACATTATGCGGATTTCGGATAATTCTAGCCAATCAACACAATAGTTTCGAAGCAGCAACGCCCAAAAGCAAGAACGATTTCTTCGGAGACCACGCTCTAACGTGAACCACTACACAATGCGCCTTAGCCCATATTGACTTTGTAATGCACGATACAACTGGCTAGTACATTGTAGTCGACAGAGCGCAAAAAAAACACACAATAGCGTGGCAGAGCTGTCCGTAGTATGTAGAAATTCCCTCGGCAAGTCTAACCCAACTTCGCCTACCGCGAGCACTCATTCGACTCGAACCACCTAGCTTCTCATTTGATGTAAAGAGGGAACGCTGACGTCGCCGGTATCCGATCATTGGCGGTGCTACTCCGCTTACCTGGCGTCGTGGTCACGCCAAGCCGAGACCGTTGTCATGCTGTAGAAGCGTTGTGTATTATGCTGCGCCGCCTATCATATCCGACGAAGTACCACGTCATGATCGCAATGTTTGGCCGATCCAGGGAGCAATTGTGTCGAATTTTCAACTACGTTGTGGAAACCTTCCACAACCAATGGTCCGCGTTGTTGTTTTTTGCCCGTCGCGTTGTCCAAAAGCGCATCCAGCAGTATGCTCAGTGTGCTCACATCAAAGGTTCCCCCCTTGGCCAATGTATTTGCTTTCCCTGATGGGACAAAGCTCGAAACGTGCCGCATCGTGGCCTCATCGACGCTACTCCCAGTCGCCACAAGCGCACAAGGCCCATTGGCGCAACCCAATCTTCAAAAATTACTGTACAGTGGACACAAGCGTCGGCACTGTTTGAACTACCATTAATATATTCAATTATATCGTAGGATATTATATTTACGGCGATCCTGCTTACGGCATCAATCGTTGGATCATGTCGGGATTCAAGGGGCAGTGTAACGACCTAGAAAAAGAATTCAATGCTCGTATGAGTAAAGTTCGGACAAGCGTCGAATGGAACTTTCAGCTGATGAAGACGCTGTGGGCATTCACTACCTTTAAGCCGCAGTAAAAAGTCATGCTGAGCGCCGTTGGGAAAGTAGTTGCGGTATCTATGCTGCTCACCAACTGCCATTGCTGCTACAACAATGGCAACAAAATATCAACCTTCTTTGGCTTATCACCGCCAAAGTTAGAAGAGTATCTCGAGTAATCAAACTTGTCATGGAAATTATATTTTGTTAAGTTTGGCCAAGTTCAAAACCTTTTCGTTTTCCAATCTGGCAAGTTCTAAGCGTGCTTCTCGCTCTGCTTGGCGATCCTGCATCTCTTTTTCAAACTTGAATTTCTCGAATTCAAGCTGCTTTTCAGATTCTACGCGCAGCATGTCGACCAAATATTCCATTTCCTAAGTTAAATGAGTGAGCAATAGTATATACATTTGCCTTTGAGCAGAAATGTAAAATATACAAAATAGTAATATTTGCCTTAGAGTAGAAATGTAAAATATACAACATAGTAACTACCTGCTTCTTCGATGGCGTGGATTTGGAGGGCCCCAGTTCTTCAACGTTGCGCTTTCCAATGGTTTTCATCGCTTCGTGCCGTAGATGGTGGGAATTTAAGTCCTTGGACCTGTTGGCTGCTGACGCCGCAATTGAAGCCTTGACCGACTTTTCCTCCGTCTCTTGCATGCCAAGCAGGAGGTCATCAAGCAACTGCGTCTTCTCGGTTTCGTCTTCGGAGGCACCGCTGGCTTTCATGGCTTCTTGCCGCAAGATCTTCTGTTCGTCCAACAGGATGTTGAAGCGGTTCTGGCACTTCTTTCCATTCACGTTGCGCCCAAAGGTGGAACATGACGTTAATGTTCTTGCAACTGATTCCCAATTCGAGCCAATCGTCCCGTGAGAGGCTTCAAACGGCAAGTCGGCCGAGACCTGACGAAGCAGCACAATGTCCTCGTCAAACGTCGATTTCTTCCTCTTGGTGTCGTGCTGGACACTCATGTTTGTGGTTGCCGAGCACGTCACCAAGCGCTTTGATAGTTTATACATGTTGATGCATTGCTAGAGGTTTTTTTTAAGGACAGACTATCGTTCATCCAGCCATTTCACGGGAATATGCATCAATTGTAGACAGGTTTTGTCGTTCCGGAATTTGATCGTAGAGGTCTTTTCGTCTGAGCGGAAAGAGAACGATATCGTTCATTGCGAAATCTCCTTACTGTCGACAATTCGAATCTCGCTTAGCTTGCAGTATACTACTATTAATAGTAGTACTCCAAGGGTTTTGGGATGTTTACAGTAGAATATTAATACCTTGATTCACTTTACTTTTCGAGTAATCGTCGAAATACCCTGCATATGTCGCATGAAAAATCGCATAACATTATATATTGTAACCTTGAGTTGTAACGGTTACACAACTACTTAAAATGGTCAAATCAAATACAGAACTTAAGTGTAAAATAATGCTTCATTAAAATGAAAACTGTAGAAACATATTAATATTTTTAATAAAGTTGAAAGGGTCGTGGATAGTCCGGAAATAAATGGAGATAACCGAATTATACTCGTGAAATATACTGCAAGCTAAGCGAAATACGCAAAAAGGTGTAGTACAGTACGGTACTTGTATTACCTTACTGTCGACAATTCGAACCCCCACTTTCTCTGAATTACTGTCGACATTTACTGGTCAGCCGTATGAAACATTTCCATTGATTTCTTTGGTATAAAACTCACACTCAATGATAGATCTGATCATATATGCGTTAGTAATGGGCGAACACTTCAAGTACTTCGAAGTTTCGAAGTAAGTACTACTAGTACGTAGTACTACTACATTGTGCACTCTACTATTAACATTAGTATATTTCACCAGACTACCGATAACGTTACCGTATATTTCGACCACCACTATGTACTAGTATTTTTTAGTGGCAACCTCAAACTCCACATTTATATTTCACCACACCAGCGATAAAATTCAACCAACCTTCGTTGAAATCCAAACTTACAGTTAGTCACGGCCAGTTCGAAGTAGATTGACCAAAAGTGTCAAAAAGGCGTGCGAAGCACTGAT